AAAAATAGATGTAAGAGTAATTATCTTTTTTCGACCAACTAAAGATAACAAGAACTTGACATGCCTAACTTTTGTCAATTTTTGTTGTTTAAAAATAACTATTGGAGTTAATTTCAAAATATTCAAATTTAAAAAGGGTTATTTGTTAAAATTCAAACTCGAAGGAGTGACTTACAAATTATCCAAAGTTTAAAGGGATATTTTGTAATTAACCCATAATTTTTTTTTAATCGGGCACTATTATAGAAGGGAGGGGGATGATAAGATTCAAATCCGCGATATTAAATTCTAACAGCGGGAGTGGTGGCCATTAAACTAACAAATAACCACCAATAATAATCAATCAATTCCAAAATTATATGTATTTAAAAATAACTTTTGGGATGATTAATTTTTTTAAAAGCATATTCAAAGATTGTAATTTGATTTGTTAAAAAGGAGGGTTGCCTCAACTACTATTATAGTAAGTGAAAAAGCATGTGTAAAGGTTGTTATTTCATTGACTTTGTAAAGATGATTAGTTTTATGGGAAGACAATGAGTACCATTGAACCAAAGACCCACTGGTTTAGTTTTATAGATTATGTTTGGGGTTGCTAGTTCTTAAGATAACTTTCAATCCAACACGAAAGTTGCTGGATGTATATGGTTCACGTCGTGATTGGATTGATCATCTAATTTTATTTTATAAATGGGTGAGAAATCACAAGCAACCAATCAACCTTTTCATACTTCAATCGATCAATCAGGAGTTGATACAAATCGGACTACATACGATTTGTACATTGTCATAAGGAGGGATTGAGGGATGTCATAGTGTAATTTGACTCGGTCTCTAATAGACTCTATCACAAAGGGGTATGAGACGATGGTACGTGAGATGTAACCAATTTGAAAGAATATTTGACGTTATACTAATCAGATCTCTAAAATCAGATTTTAAAAGTGTAAAGTGATCAGCTAACATAGTTGTGCATATAGTTGTAACCAAGGCTCAAGGTGAAACACTACGACCTCAGTGGCTCAATGACATGCCTTTGCAACTAAGCACACATATCTGTAAAGAAATTAGAGTGGGTATAGACTAGTTGAGCTTTGTAAGCAAGTGGATAGGCCTAAAGTATAGTTATGTTAATGAAAATTTCTTTTTCTAACAAAAAAAAAAAACCTATGTACAATAATAATGAGTTGAGTATAAATTGGACAAATGTTGAAATGATGCGAATCTAACATAATAAAATTTATTATCAGTCCTAATTCAATTCCACCCCAATAGTAAATTTTTTAATTCCTTTCATACATGATTGCTTATGATAAGAAATCAATTCCAATATAGTTAAGTTCCTTTTAAATTCATATTAGATGGTTTAACATCTATATCTACATTATTAATAAAAATATTTTTAACATGAAAAAAATTTTATTCAGTATTTTACCTTTATAAGAAACTATAAAGGTTAACGTGCCTTTTTTTATTTAAATATTTAAATTACTATTATATCTCTCTGTACTTAAATAACAAATTAACCTCTAGCATATCACGTAAATTTCTCTATATTTGTAAAACTTTTAGATGGTCATGTTACACTTAATAGAATATATAAAAAAAATTCCACAACTCTAATATTAATACAAATCGACAATATCATTGATACAATATCATCTTTGGTACTAAAAATTGATATATGTATCCTTTTTGTTTTCATCCATAATACAAACAATTGAAGTATACTAAACATGAGATAATATCTAATTTAGCTATATACTTAAAATTTTATGTATTTTATCAAATTTTTTAACAAAAATTTTCACTGCATAACGTAGGTAATGTATTGTTAGTTTAACAAATTGAAAGAACCTAACGTTGAAATGGGTCATAACCCATTCACATGCATCAGAGAGAGAGAGAGAGAGAGAGAGAATATCATTGACCTAGAAAACTCTGGGAAATGATCATAAAAGGCCAGAGGTGCCATCTTCTACACGCAATTTGTAATGATTCGAATTGTGAGGGTAGACATTTTGAAGAGTTGAAAATCCACCAAAAGAAAAAGGGGCTTTGTTGACTAGAAGAAACATTTCAAACCTCATACTTATCTGTTGAATCCCACAATAAAAGAAGAATGATTTTTAAGGTAAGAATTTAAGATTATAACAGAACAGACAAGACTAAATCATATCATATGCATATTTATGATTAGTGTATTAAATCATTGTAATAAAAATCATGGTTTGTGGGGAGTTGGTTGGTGGTGTCATCATATGTATGATTAGTGTATTATAATGAAGAAAAGATTGACATGTTCTTTGGAATTTTGATAGGCATGCCTCATGGTGTCTTTGTGACGCATGGAACTTACCTTTCACCAACTTTTATTTTCATTGCTATGTGCCAACACCTTCGATAGCAACAATCATTTCAATCATGTGTTATTTTAGATATATAATTATTGCACGAATTCTTACGATCGTTTAATAGCTGACAAATGATTCGTATAAGGTAAGTTATGATTTTCTAGTGAAAATTTAAATTGATATTTCAAAATAGTAGCCCTTAACATCTTTCCGTTATAATAATATAGATGAATTTACATAATTTGTATTCAGGTGGATTTGACTTGGTTTAGTTAGCTCACATCCTAGATAAGTGTTTTGGAGAGTAATCAATAAGTTTTATTAATAAATCGAATTTTGATCTGAATTCAATGAGTCAGATATAGATTGATCTCTTATTGTCAATTACAAAAATCCAAATTTAAGTTCATTGTAACATCTTCACGGATTCGAATACCAATATATAACAAAAAAAATTATTATATCATCTGAAATATAACACACACATAAATAAATGAAAGAAAAACGTATGATAAAATTCATATTTAACTCTGTAATATTTAGTGTTAATTAAATTATGCGGATCATATCAGATTTACGGATCAAGTTTGTGGCTTTTAACAAGGTCAAATATGAACTACGAAAAATAAAATTCATTACATATTTAGATCCAAAATTTAAAATGAAACTCGTATTTAAATCGACTAAAATTCAATCAAAATCTAACCCGTTGGCAAACCCTAACTACAAATACAAACAAAATGAGAAAATCAATGTAGACTTTAGGTGAGAGAAAAGATTATCCTAAAATTGATTGTGAGATCGTGTTTTACGGGGAGGGACCCCACAAGGCGGCTACCCATAATCTCCGCCAATTGAGTTTTTATGTTGACAAGAACAAGTTTTTGTGACTAAGAATATGGTAGGACAGTGCTAGATAATTCACATGCATGTGAACGAGTTTCACATAGAGGGACGATGACGTTGGAGCGATCTTATGTTCCGTTTAATAGGAATGATAAAAAATAAAAAAAATAAAAAATATGAGAGATATATTTTTTATTCTTCAAATATAAAAAATAGAAATGATATGTTTTCTTTAATGTGTATTTAGTTGGATGAATGAAAAATAAAAATAACTAATTTTTTTAAAAAAAATTTTTGTACTGGTTAAGATTATGAGTGATAATCGAATCATGTCGCGTTAGATTTGTATTGAGTCATTAAATTATCAATCTTTAATATTTTTTATTCGCGTGTCAGGTCATTTTTAAGTTCGTGTCATAAAATTCGTGTTGACTTCGAATCGTGTCATCGTGTTGAGTCAAAAATTTTCACCTCTAATTAAGTTGAAAAAATATTTTTAAAATTTTTAATTTTAATTTTAATTTTTAATTTTTTTAAAAAAAATATATATAAATACATATTTTATTATTGTAATTTTATATGAAATTAAATGTATAAATAATATATAGAAAAATAAAATACAACTTAACACAAATAATTAACTTTTTATCCACATTCCTTCCGATTTTGGAGGGATTGACTTTGGTGAGTTAGAATGAAAGTTAATCCCTCCACTTTTTCATCCTTACCAAACATAATATTTTATTTATCCTTCTAATTTTTTATCCTTCTATTTTTTCATTATATCAAACAGAGCATTAGAGTTTAACGACACCGATCATTAAGCCAACAACAAACTTCATTTTAAGAAAGAAGTGGATTAGGTAAAATAGATGGTTTTTGTTTTTTTTTTTTTTTTGGTGGGGATCACAAATAGTGGTAGATGACTTGTGTTTGTGATGCTAATAGTTCTTTTATTCTATTTTGGGTTGACTTAAAATTATCAACTCAATGCATTGTACCTTGGATTTGGTCAACTTCTTGACTTATGAGGTGGTTTTTGAAGAGATGAAATGAAAGAATAACGGCTTGTGTTTATTCCAAAAAAATAATAATAATAATTTAGTGGACGAGATTTTTGCAATTGTGAGATCATGCGTGTTGATGTATGTAGTCATAATCCGCATACAAGAAGATTATTTGTGCAATTCCCAACTGAAATGAAACTTCAAATTGTCTCCCCAACGTAGTAGAGGAAACCTTTCTATGGATGTTTGAAACATCGACGCTTATCACCAGTTCTAGTCAAAGACATGAAACAATATGCTGGCAGTCAAGAGGATCATTTGATTGTCCAAGCAGAATGTGATAACTTGTTCGTATTAGAAAATGGGGTCTGATTACGGTACCAAAAAAACCACATTTTTAATAACGTATCCTATTTTTTTTTATTATTTTTGCAACAAATAGTTATAATAAATAATCCAAAACAAAATCATCGACTGAAGAGGAATTTCAATACAATCGGTATCAAGGGTGAAGATTTGTTTACCATATTAGCTCGAGCTCGATTTGTTTACCGTATAATATATATAAATAATTTCTATGGTGAAGATATAAGAAGTAGCACTTTTCTTTTACAATTGGAACTAAGGCTGCTTTCTGGTTCAACTGCTCAGTCCCCTGCCATTCATTATTTAACTAACCACTGTCAAGTGATACATGAAAATTTCTAATCAGCTAAAGAAGATAAGGCAACTTGTTATAGAACAAATGACAACNCAAGTGATACATGCAAATTTCTAATCAGCTAAAGAAGATAAGGCAACTTGTTATAGAACAAATGACAACAGTATTACAACAGCTTGAAGATTAATGGTCCAGATTAACATAAAAATCTATTTGAAAATCATATATAGAGACCAAATGGTCCAGGATGACTGTGATCCAAAGAAGATTAAGCCAACACAAGGCTGATGACAAAACAAAGAAGGTGATTCATTTGTTCAAGTCCTCCAATCTCCAACCATGAAGTCAAAAAAAATCACTATACTCTATTGAAAGGCTGATAACACTAAAACAACATAATCGCAAGAACACTGAACTAACTCAAATTTTTTAAGTTAAATCAGTTATAAAAACCCAATCGGTGATACACTGATTTTACCTGCACACGTTCAAATACACGGACTTTACAACAATATCGTGCCACACATTTGAGAGCTTCATCTTTCGATCTCATCTTGAGAAAACTCATCAAGTATCTATTATCCTTTGGCACAATGCGGATGAAGGAGCCCAATATCCATCGTCATCTCAAAGATCATTCAGGCATTTCAGTTTCCAGCACTTGTATCATTGCTTAACTGCTGCTCTACAATTGGGGGGATGAGAAGAGCAAGCCGAGTTTTGTACCTTGCAATTCTCTGTAGCCTTTCTTCTCTTAAACTGCATAAAAAAAAAAGGGAAACAAATCAAATATTGGATGGATGCACTAAATTGAGGGTATTCAATCCACTTCAGTAAAGCATAAAACACACCAACATAAATATTACAAGAACAGAGAGACGGAAAAAATTTATACGGCACTCCACACTGTCCCTCATATTAAGGGAGTCAAACACTACAAATGAGTTGTGAAAATGGTTCTTGCCAACTGGCAATGGAAATCAACAACAGAGAAAATATGGATTCCGCTCTTGGAGTTGCAGCAACTGGATCCAGCTCTTTATCCAAGATATATGCTGCCAAACTTGCAGCAAAGTTCTTCTTACCTCTATTATTTTCTTTTTCTTTTTTCCCCGCCGGGGGGCGCGGGGGGGTGTTTGGTTTGAAGTTGGAAACCTTCCGAAAAAAATGAGAGATTTTTACTTTGATTTTATATTTTTAATTGGTTAGAAGCTGTCCTTGGAATGTGATACATGTTTTCAATGTGAAATTTCATTCTCCACACACTTGCGGTGTTCTATATTCTAAAACACGATGATCCTTAGTATTATTAACCTCTTCCATGTTGGGACACTAGTTTAACCAAAATTGAGCTTTCCGACTTTGAACAACATTAACTTCATACCCTAATGTCACATTTTGCACTAATAAGGAGGTATTTTGGGGGTTTAGCAATAGTTTTACTTATATAGAGGTGACAAAATTAGCATTTCTTTCAAGTTTTATGTTTTGTTTTGAGATTTGCTAAATGAGGAACAGCCTACTTGATTTCTAGGGTAATTTCATTCACAAGGCAATTCTAAAGGATTAATAGTATGCCTGCTGAAAGATTCACATAAACTTTAGACCCCACATTGTTCCTTGAAACAAATGCTAGAGGCTTTCCTGTGAGAACAAGGCCATCAGAAACTCATGTCCAATCATTACATCAGCATATTGTTATTTCATGCATTGGATGTGGTAAAATTCCCTAGGTTTAGTAAAGAAATTAAGCACATATTTCATGCACCAGAGTCGAGAAATTTCTGGTTAAATGAAAGCCTCACTTTGCCCAACTCAGAACATACTTGGGACATGTGAACTATATTCAACAAAATCTCCAAGAACACTTTCCTCAACTTTGTTTCATTTGAAAACCTCCGTATCCATATATATGTATCATTCACACTATTCAAAGTTCATTTGACAACCAATGCAACTAACAGTAAAATGTTAAACTTACCGTGCCCGAACCTTTTTAGCACGCTTGATATGTCTTTGCAATAGCTCTTGTGAAGATACTTGCTCACCAGATACCTCATCCTGAAAGAAATAAAGGCAGTAAGAATTCATATCATCAGTGAAATAGAAAATAAATGGCAGGGAGAGATAAGCTAGACAAACCCAAACTCTCAAAACAAAGATATTCTCAGCATTCAACTTGAAACTAATCAAAGTCTAAAACCAGAAAGAGATCAACAAAATCCTATTCATATGCAATTCAAAAGTTTTTCAAGCAATCATTTGAAAAAAAAAAAAAGAGGTCTTACTACTCTGAAAGAGTGAGCATTTTTCTAGTAAGTCAAAACAACAACCATACCTACTTGCCTAGTTTTGATTGCAGTCTGCATATGGAACAAGAAATAGTTGGTTTAAACAAACCAATTTTCTCATAAGAAACAAAATGATAATGAGAAAGACGGTTTGCAGCTCTATCCCTTTTTATCTAACTTACCCATCTACTGCAGTGTTATCTAGAAAGCAAATTAATTTGTTTTGAGTACAGATTTTCAGTTTAGGATTTCTCGAATCAAGTCTCACTAGTTACTACCATCTCCCAAAAGGACTGGATTCCAACGTTGCACAAGCTGCATATATTTTTTATCCATAACTTTCAAACCTGATACCCGGGATGAGGTTCCAAAGATATACAAAGAATTTCAAGACCTTTTTTCTTTTGAACTTTTAACATATAACTCCATTTTTGACTAAATTTCTCCCACCTATTTAAAACCCTTTTCTGGTTCCAACTTTGATTTGTAAAGGATTTTGTTTTATTCCAAGAAGGATTTCTGACCTCCCTAAATGGTTATAGCTGGGCCCATACACGTGTGGGTTACACTTTAATCTCCATGGAGACCCGGAAATGATTCAGACTTTCTCAATGTATTTGGTGTCATCCTTGTCAACTTTTCAGTTGTTTAGGTGAGCTGAAATTGGCTTTGCTAAACTATTTTAACCATTCAGAGTTTTTCATTGTAATGTACACAGCATAAACAAAATACATTAACCATAGAGAAAGGAATAAAAAAGGACTTCAGCACCATATAGTGCCTTGTCTGTGAATTATCATGAACCTGTAACTCCCATAAATTTCCTTTTTTCTGGTGGCCTAGTTAATCACAGGAAATGGGAAGTGGAAGTAATGTTCTATCTGTTTCATCTCCTATAGGTTGTCATTATCAACACCTTCACGTATATCTTGCTCCACTTGGGTCTTTGATTCAACCACTACACATCATATGATTAATGATCCATCTTTGTTTATTTCTACTTCTTCTCCTTCTCCCCCTAGAACTGTTCTAGCTGCCAAGGGAACTTCCATGTTGGTGGTAGGTGTTGGATCTGTTATGACTTCACCCCTCTCTCTTTCTGTTGTTTATTGTATCCCTGAACTATATCCTAATTTGATTTCTATCAATTAATTTTGTGATCTTGGTTACATTTTTCAATTTTCCTTCACAGGTAATACTGTGTAGAATCCTCATTCTAAGAAGTTGATTGGAACATGTTGTATAGGGTTGGAAGATTATATATGCTGGAAGATGGCATGTTCCAGCAGTGGTTGCTTCTTCGATTGATTTATCCTCCTTTTTGTTTGAACTCTAAGTGTTTTATGTTTTATTTTTGTCATTATCGTCTTAGACGAATTTCTAGTTCTCGTTTGAGATTTCTAATTTCTACTAGTGCTTTAAGAAATTTAAGTAGTCATTATATTTCGGATCGTAATGGCTATAAATTTGTCAATTTCACACATTTACCTTTTAAGAATAGTTTCACTTCTTCTTCTGCTCCTTTTGTCCTTGTGCATTGTAATATGATTGATCCTAACCATATCACTACCAATCTAGATACTATGTTTGTTTTATTGATGATAATTTTTTTCTATCTTTATTACTTTCAGTTATCATTTACACATAATGTTCTATAGTAATTAAATATATTTGGTATGATTTGAGTTGGGAATATAAATATACTGATTTTCTTAATTTATTGAAATTTGATAGAACTATTCACAATCCTCTTGTGAAAATACTATTTGAGTATAATGGTGTGGCTAAGCGAAAGTGCGGACACATTATGAAGACTACTCATTTATTGTTTTTATCTGCATTTGTTCCCAATTCTTTTTGGAAAGAAGCAATTCTTACAGTTGTTCATATCATTACCCGAATTCTTTATATTTATTACTTCGAGTGTTTCACCTTTGAAAGATTATATATACGGTAAACCTTTTGAATGTTTTTCATCACGCATATTTGGTTGTACTTATTTTGTTTTTCTTCCTAAATTGTGTGTTTTTCTTGGTTATGGTGAGGAACAAAAAATGTATTATTTTATGACCCTGTTTCAAAAAGATTATGTATATCTAAACATGCGGTTTCCTTGAGCATATTCCTTTATGTTTCATTCTTTCCACTTCTAACACATTTAATAAATCTTGACATGATTTATATTAATCTTTTCCCTAATGATATTTCTAGTGATTGTTATATTCATAACATGCTCACTTCTGATAGTCATTGTTCACCTCAATCTTCCTTCTCCTCAATTGCACCCCCTCCAATTATCCACACATATTCTCGTAGGAACAAGACTAATTCCTCTACAGATGCAATGCCTCCAACTCTTTCGGTTGTGACTCCACTGACCTTTAATGATGACATCCCTCTTCTCGTTATCCTAAGCGCTTGTAAGTGTCCTAATTGCCTTGGCTTTTCTCAAATTGTTATTACTTTGATTGTTGTTCATTTTTATCTTCTAGTCACTCTCTATCTGAGCCTACCTCATTTAAAAGGGCTCCTCTTGATCCCATTTGACAATAGGCGATGAATGAAGAATTTTTTGCACTACATAAAATTGGGACATGGGATCTTGTGTCTGTACCTACTAGTAAGTGTTGTTGATTATCAGTGGGTATACAAGATTAAAACTAAAGTTGATGGTTTTGTCGAATATGTAAGGTCAGATTGCTTACCAAAAATTTTACACAAGAATATGACATCTATTATGAGAAAACATTTGTTCCTGCTTTAAAAATGACCATTGTTCCTACATTGATTGCCATAACAACTTTTCGTTAATGAAAACTATCTCAAATCGATGTCAAAAATATTTTTCTAAGTGGTGCTTTGGTTGAAGAGGTTTTTATGGTTCCTCCCCTAGTCTCCCTCATGCCCTTGGTGAGAAATACAAACTCAAAAAAACTCTGTATGCTCTTAAACAAGCTCCTCGAGCTTAGTTTGAAAAGTTCTCTAGTGTGATTTACGACTTGAGTTTTCATTCCAGTGATCACAATTCTACTATTTTTCTTAATTCTTCTTCCGTTGATCAAATTATTCTTCTATTATATATTGATGACATTATTAGTAAGAACATTTATATTTTTAAAGGCTCATTTACAACAACAGTTTGTGGTGAAAGATCTTGGTGTCCTTCGCTATTTTTGGTCATTAAAATGGCATCGTCGCCTAAGGGTTATCTTCTTTCTAGTCAAAATATACAGCTAATGTTATCTACAGAGCTCGATTAACTGATTCTCGAACTATTGAGGCTCCTCTCGAACTTAATGCACATTACACTTCTACTGATGGTATCCGTTTGGCTGATCCTACTTTATATCTTGAACTTGTTGGTCGCTTAGTCTTTTCACTATTACACGACCTGATATTGTTTTCTTATGTTCTTCATATTGTATGTCAGTTTGTTTGTTCTCCATATTTTGTTATCTTTGGGGCTCTTTATATCAAAGTTTGTTCTTTTCCTTAATTCCTGGAGAAGTAGACCATTATCGCTCGTTCCACTCCTGATGCTAAATATTGTGCTATGGCTACTACTACGTCAAAAACCATATGGTTAAGATTGTTATTTGTTGATCTAGGCATTTCTTTTTCTGCTCCAACTTCTACATATTATAACAATAAGAGTGTCATTCAAATAGCATACAATTATATTTTCCTTAAGCAAACCAAGCATATCAAGATTGTCATGTTGTTTGTTCATCTTGAGCTTGAGACTATTTCCTTACTTTTCGTTTCTTCTACCATGCAGTGGGTCGACTTTTTCACGAAATCGCGCACTATATTGTGATTTCGTTTTCTTCTTGGACAAACTCTCGATACTTCATACTACCACATCATGAGTTTAAATGGGGTGTTAAGATTGTATTTATATTTATATTTACTTATCATTAGGGGTATTCTATTTCCAATCTTTCTCTTTTTGTAGCACTTTATATATAGCGTTTCCTGTACCTAGTTTTTATTATTATGGAATATTAGAATAACGAACTTCTTTTCTCTCTTACTGGTATTCGTATGTATTTTCTTCTTTGCAAGTTTATATAAGTTTTCAAACAAGACTCATTTACTAATTTAGAAGGTATAACTATATAAAGTGGCACAACCTCTAATAGAATCAGCAATCCAAGTTAGGTTTCAATTGGTATTTCAAAAGTATAACGTGCAGCTAAACCAAAGTTACTGCTTGTAGATGCAGATGCATACTGACATAAGCTTATTTATTATCATTGTATGCTATTAAAATAAATGACTTCTTCTCCGAAGATATATGCTAGCCCAAAAAATGAATAATAATACCAGCAACTAAATAAAATAATTTGAAGCACCAACCTCTTCCTCCTCTTCTTTATCATCCTCCTTTCTAATTGGCGAATGTGCGCCTCCCACAAGTATGGGCAAAGGTCTGGGAAGAGACCTCACACCATCCATGTACTGTGGCTGACAATGAAAGGTAATAACAGTAACTAACAATAAATAATTAAATATGCAATCAGATAAAAAAAAATTGTATCCACAATTAAATTTTCCTGTTATACAACCTTCTAAAAAATCCAAAAGCTGCCACAAAAGAGAAAAAACAAATAGAGATTCTATGCAAATTTCAACATTATAGCTGTATTTCAATGCCACAACCAATCTCATCGAAATTACAGAGTGCTGGTAGCTGAAGAAAAGAGCAGAATCACCAAGTCTTTCAAATTACCTTGGAGAAGAGTAATACACTTACAATCAGAAATACCCATTTGCAGTAACGTCCTATAACACCTTGGCATGCTGATGAAACATTTAAATAATGTCTCAACTTTCTGTCTAAATATTCAAAATTGACATCCAATTCTCAATGGGCACCAAAAGGAACAAGAACAGATCTATCCTTGTAACATTACTTTTTCCTGGTTATGTTTGTTGAGTTTTCTAGAAACGATCAACGGTCATACAAAGGAATCAATGACTGCAGAAATCTACAGTATTGTCCATGCGAAATGCTCCTCAATATAATGGTTGGTAAGGGGTTAGATGATCAAGGTAAACAACTAGGAATCCAGGAGTATGAATTCGAATTACGATGAGCAAACGTTAGTCAGTGAAATTCAACTCTGCAAAGTCAGGAGGAACACCAAATCTGAATCCTATTGTCTTCAACGTTCTAATTGATTTTCAGAATTAAAGTGTGTTCTTATTCTTATGTTACAGGAAACAATATGAAACACAGCAAAAGAACAAAGATTTTAGTTCGATACAATTCACGACTTAACACCAATGATAATGAGGTCGTAAATAAATGTGGCACACATGCCATGCATACAGAAGACAGTGTCCCTGGTACAAACCTGACTTTCTTCAGAAAAGCCATTCCTCAACCACGATCGACAGAGAGCATAAAGAGAAGCACCACCAGATATTATGACCTATAAAAGCAAGAGGACGGTAAGCAAAACCAACAAGAATATCATATCTAAAGCCAAAACATGAATCCATTTTCATGAACAACTATAGAAAAGCTAGAACGTTCCAAATTCAAAAATTAAATGCATTGGATCATGGAAGCTTTACAATTTGAGTGTCACATGAGTAATCCAAGTCAATTGGGTGTCGCAAGTATCAAGGAGGATTTTAAAAATTGAGCCATTGTTGCTTTTTCCAAACATTTGGGCAGGGGAAATAAATAGAACTAGACTGATTATTCAGATTATGGAAACTTTACAGTTTGAGTGTCACATGAATAATCCTAGGCAATCGGGTGTTGAAACTTTCGAAGGGGATTTTGAAAATTGAGCCCTTGTTGCTTTTTCCAAACAATTGGGCAGAGGAAATAAATAGAACTAGACTGATTTTACAACGGTTGAAAGGAAGTCATGTTCAGAAACACTGCATAAGTTTGGGTTAGAGGGTCAGTCACACTACCAATGATAGACTATTATATTACACGAGTGGCATGGGAATTATTCTATGCTAAGGAATTGGTGTATCTTCCCAGAACAACTGGAATTACTCTACGTTAAGTTAATCCATTCTTGCAGCTACGCTTTCAAACTTCAAAATAATGTATAGGAAATCACAAGCCAGCTGGTGTTTCTTGAGGTGGGAGGATTAGGAGTTTGCATCATTGGGGCTTCCATTTCTTTTGCTTCTTGATTTCTTGGGAAAATGTTATTCTTCTGCGATCAATTGCCCATGCTGATATTAAATCTTCCTATTTGACAGAAAAGTTTCAAAACCAAAGCACAACCATGTGAAAAATATCACAAGCAACTAATGCACCTGTCTATTATCTGGCTGTAAGAGAGGAGGTGGAGTGACACATAGAATCAGAATTTCTACAATGGAAAGACTGAAAGTGAAAACAAAGTGTCTAGGAAAAATAGAGTAAAACCAAATGGGGAAAAAAAATCAATGCAGTTCAATATTTTTTTTCAAAAATCACTATTAAACGTAAGTATAACAGAGAAATTCCTAAACTAATAAATAAACCCAATAAGGAAATGACTATTAAATTTTCAAAGAATACTATATTAAATTCCTAAACCTTAATCTTCAATTTACACTTCATCAAACTCCTTTTCATTAAATAATTGGATGCTTCCTTACCTTTCGATCTCTAATGGTTGCAAAAGTATCATCCCTGCTTCTATCACTAAACAAACAAGGTAGAAGAATAACTATCAGCATTATGGTAACCAATAAAAGATAAAGGAAAGGATGAAAATTTGATGCACAAGATGCAACAATACCTAATATCTTTGAAGCCTTTACAATCAGGAACTGTGGGAGAAAGAGCAACCTAGAAGACAAATGCAATATGAAACCAAAGTCTAAAAGTAGCAAAGCATGTAATAAGATCTTAAAAATCTGACAATGTTGACCAAAAAGAATGGCAAGAAAGATGCAGGCAAAACACTTAATACACACGAAGCCCAACTTTTCCTTAAACCAAACCATTCATGGGAAGTAAAAAAATGAAAGGCTTCCATATGAGCCAAGACACGCTTATTACCGCATGCTAGATGTGCAAAATATTTCAATGGTATCAATACTTCATGCAGATAGCTCTTGCACCAAATTCTGAGCAGACTACATAAAATCATGTACAACTTGAGTCATTTGCCATTTGGAATATGGCATATGCATTGGATTTGTTTAACTTATATTCAAGAGCATGGATACATTTAAGTAATAATACACAGTCCTTTTTTCTTCTAACATCTGCAAATATTCCACAAGAAAAAGATCAGCATTGCTACTTGTCAAGGTGTAATTTGATAAGCTGTTGACGAATTGGTTTTTTCATGCCATAGACCAACGGTAAAGAAATACAACAATGAATGTTTGCATCCTTCAAAGATTTTCCACCTTGAAATAATCCATGGTCATTAATGGAAATTTGAACATACCATTGCCTTTACCATATTTAACTATAGAATCCCTTTTAAATGATACTTCGTTTGATACCAATATCAATTTTGATTTTTCACATTTGAATGGCTAGCAGTGATAAAAGAAACAAAGCAATGGTTCAAACAAGAGTTACAAAGAGTTTGTAGAATGGCAAAAAATTTACTATATCAAATTTGGATTTCAAATATAAGTGCAGGTGCAAATAGGATGAAGCAAAATGTGAATAAAATCCATTAGATCCATTAGAAGGGTGCCAGAATTAAATAAAAATGCACCTCTGCCACATCAGAATATGTCATATTTTTTTTGCAAGTGCATAATAAACATCCATTCCAAGTCCAAAACTTCCTTTCCCTCAACTTTTAGGGTTGCGATAGTCACATTATCAATAGGAGATCGGTTTCATGCATGAAAGTCTCTTATGAATGTACAAGGCCCATCCATTTTTTTAAAAAAGCAGAATTGATAATTTATCTCAATTTTGCAATTTTACTAATTTTCTAAAAGTCTGTCTAAATATGGAACATATATTTAGCAAGTCTTTGAAATTGAGGAAAAGAAAACACAACTCTAGCAATTCCTTCAAACTGAATATACATATAGATATATAGACAAGGCATAGATATAGATACATAGGAGAGACAAACAGACGCAGACACACACGGCACGCCCACACGCACATATATATTCTTTCAACACAATTTCACAACAATCATAGGCAATTAACTTCTTCTTTTTCTGGACATGCAATTAACTACCCAACCAAAATTATTTACAACTAACTATATAATATTTTGACAGAATTAATGCAATCACTTATTACCATGTCAAATAATTCAAAAAAATCTGAAAAAAAGCAGTTCAACAAATTAACTGTCAAAGAATTCAAATATCAAACCTTGGGTTGAGAAGAAACCGGAACCCCCTTGACCACACCGGGCATCACTCCACCATTAGACCCAAGAAGAGTGTGCTGGAAGTGGGTCGGCCTGATATAGTGCACAATCTGACCCTGACCTTGCTCCGAATGATTGAACCCAAATGGCCTCACTGGGTGAGTCTGAGGGTACTGAACCACTGGGCGAGATGGGTATCCACCGGGATTAGCAATCGTGACGGTCGGTTCGGCGGGCCGAATCGGCTTCGGAAGAAAACTGCCCGAGGAAGCAACTGGGTAAAGAAATCCCTGTGGCGGCGGTGGTGGGTCATGACGGTGGTGTTTATTGGTGGGTACTGGTGGGTGAATTTGACTAGCGGTGATTCTTGGAGCAATGCTGAGAAAGGGTTGAGCTGCATAGCGGGGGTGGGCTTGTTGTTGTTGGTGGTGGTGGTAGTGATGGGATGGTGGTGGGTGGTGGTGTAGTGGAGGAGGGGTTAGGGGTCTTGAGTTTGTTGATTGTGGTGGGTTGGGGAAGAGAGGTCTGGTGGCGGTGGCGGTGGTGGTGGTGGTGATTGTGGTGGAGGAGGAGGGGGGATCTGCTGGTGGTGGTGCTGTGGAAACGGCCATGGTTGTTGTGGTGGCGGGGAATTTTTTCTTGGAGAACGTTTGATAGAGGTTTTTCTTTCAAAATCAAATAGGCCAAGTTTCAAACCTACGTGACAACGCTCAAGTTTCGCAGAACGGAAAAAATGAGGGAAAATTACACTTTGACCCCTTTAATTGTGGATTCGATTTTATTTATCCTTTCGACTATTAAACCTTTTATATTACCCTTCAATTACTTGAATTGTTTTATATTATCTCAAATGCAAAGGACAAACGTCCACCATTTTGTGAAATTGGCAAGAGACAAACTAACAAAATCGTATAGTTCAGGGAGTATAATGAAACGACTTTTATATAATGTTTATCGGATGTTTATTATGGCAATATGAAACAACTATGNACGACTTTTATATAATGTTTATCGGATGTTTATTATGGCAATATGAAACAACTATTGTGGTTGAACGTGCAATATGAAAAATAAGATAATTTGATGGGATACTATAAAAATAAATCATAATTAATTATATCAAAATGTAATTTTAAGATTAAATTTGGTGGACCAAACATTACCTTCTTTACATGATCCCCACCGTTAAACAACTCAACCAACGTACTCCATAATGTCAGATAAATCTACTAATATCACTAATTTATACATGTCTCTGTTTTCTCTCTCCCCAACATTTCTCTTATTTTCTCTCTTTAATTTAAAATATATTACACAATTAGTATTTAATTTTTAGTATTGCATGGTATCTTCGGGTGAAATTTTTACTAGGAAAATTTAGAGGCCGGTCCTCCTATATTGATTTGTTTGGACTTAAGTCCGCTAAGAAAACTTATTTGTTATGAAGTCTATTTTTTGTCAATTTTACCAGACTATCCTTTTTCCTTTGGAAGTAAAGTAAAACTACAACTAAAAATTAAAACCTCCTAACTATTAAGAGTTTGACTAACATTAAAAAAAATTTCTCTCATATATATCTATTTCCCTCTCATATATATATCTATTTCCATATATAAATTATATATATATATATAGTAACATTAAAAATAAAAAATAGTAACATTCAAATACAAAAAAGAGTTATCATTTAGACACAAAAAATAATATAATTTAAACACAAAAAATAGTAACATTTAAACATAAAAAAAATAATAACATTTAATATTAATATTTTTAAAAAATAACAATAGTAACATAATTAACAAAAACAATAACATTCTTAACAATAATTATCTCTATCAAATTTAAACACAAAAATAGTAATATTCAAAAACGAAAATAAAAATTGTAACATTGAATATTAATATTTAGGAAAATAATAGAAGTAACATGTTCAACAAAAATTATAACATGCTCAAAATAATAATAACATGAACAATAACATATTCAACAAAACAGTAACATAGTAAAATAAATAGTAACATGAAACATTCAATTTAACAAATCAATACTAATTCTAATAAAGCACAAATATTAACATGAAAACTACACTTAGAACCTAATTTCAAAAACAAAATAAAAAAAACTCTAGTAAAAAACGTTGCAATACCACAGAGTCGAGTTTGTGCCCTTTAGTGGATTTGGTCATGGGCATGGTTCGGGTCTTCATGAAATGGAAGATGAACTTGGTATGTTTGACTGGCCTATGGAACAAGGCAGCGAAGGTAATGGCGGCAGAGTTGGTGGTGGCAGTGCTAAGGGGTGTAGGTAAGTGGTGATGCTAATGGCGGATTGAATGGTGGTGATTGTTTTCATTGGCTGGGCCTTGCTAATTCCACTCCAAGTCAAAACTCTCAACTAAAGCTCCGACTAGTTAATATCCAAGGAAATAGAAAAAAAAAAAATGGGTTTTGCTTTTGAGTTCGTCTTTTAAGTAGCATTGTTGTTCGAGCAGTATATGTTTGTTAATGAAATCTTTTGATTTGAAATTGAATTAATAGACCAATAATTTTGTCGTAATTCAAGCATCAGATTCAATTTCCATAAAAAATTGAACAATTTGTTACCATATATATCTCAAATATCTAACATATGACTTTCCATAATTGACTAAATTTAACACTGTTAAGTGTATTTTTGAGATAAAAAAAAAATGAACTTAAGTCATTACACATAATTTTAAACATGAACTTAACCACTTATAAATTTCCTTACTGGACTTATCTACAAACAAGTACATTTAAAAAAACTCACCTCTAATTTTCACTTCTTACTAATATGCAGATAAAGGGTCACCTGCTCAAAGTATAGTGATATAATATATAATTTATCGTTAACATAGTTATTCTCCAAATTGTTTTTTGAATCCCATGGTAAGATTGTTGGGTTGTTTTGATTCACTAATACATGACATAATCAGGGCAATTTATGGATCCTTGCAACACTTTGCTAGTAGGTAAATCGGATTTAGACAATTCTGCAAAGCATTATTGAAAGAATTACACCATTTTGATATTAAATTGCAACCATTTGAAATTATGAAAAATTATAACATTTGAAAATCAATTTACAATTCTAAAGTCGTAATTATGATTTATATGTTATAAATACTTTAGCATAGGCCACGGAGCATTCCTCCCTATTTGTGTTTTTCATGTCCACAAAAAATTAAGATTTGAATTTTTTTTTTTTTTCTGATTCGATGGTGAGAAATGTTTCGACCAACTAATGCAGACCTTAATTAATCTCTTTTCTAATCCGGTTAAAAACATATCATATATGTCAAAATTAGAGTATTTATAACATATAAATCATTTATAACCTGACCACAAAATATTGTTAAAATTCAACCCAATACATCTGAATTTCCGGGTCGTTCATGTTATCATTTAGATTAACCTTAAATTTGGATACTTGAGAAGCTTCACATGTTCACCACAAGAGAAAAACCTAACATTTTCATCAAGAGAAAGTTCAACAATATCACAATAACACTGCTCACGAAAATGGAGATCTAAAATGACATGTTTAAGAACCAGGTCATCTTAATAATACAAATACTGTCTAACGTTTCTTTTCTTCCAGAAAGTTGCACCCATTAAAACTAATGTCTTCACAAAAACTAAAGATAGGGCACGAAGAAAATGCTCAAGCATTCGGTTGGCGGAGCTCATGGGCTCCATGGGCAAAATGACACCTTTCCCCAAAAGTGCACGACCCCTTAGCAAAATTTTCACACATCTTAGTCTTATAATTACTAGCTGGAGTCGTACGAGGAGAAATCCCAGTCGGGTTTTTTGCAGGACCCGTGGGAGCACGAATGTTTCCAATGAGCTCGCGTACCATGCTACTAGCCTGTTTAATCTGATCAAAGGTTCCTTCAAGCTCAATATTCCTTTGATTTGGATCTGTTTCATGGTCGTTTATCGAAAGCTTCACACCAGTAACGCGGCATATCTGCTTTGAGTTCACGCCTCCCTTTCCAATAATGGCTCCAGCAAGAGATGCATCTATGCTAATCTTGGCTGTAGCTGACGAACCAAAGTTGGCTGCAGCAGCTAGGCCAGGAGGGGATGCTTCAGCCCGTCCAGAGAACCTGTTGACCATTGGTACCATGGCTCGGGGATCTTCGTACCTTGGGAAAGAGGGCTTGCCGAGCTCCATCTCACTATGTGCAAAGCGGCATTTGTCACCAAATTTACATCCTTCTGGGGTGTTAATCTTGTTGCAGAGCTTAGTCTTAGCAGGGGAAGGACCATCAGTAAAGGGCGCCTGTGGCATGGCATTTCTTCCAACTGGACCACCCAGGTTTGTCATCTGACCAACTGCACTATAGCCCGGAACATAATGCAGGAAGTGACATCCCTCACCAAATGGGCATCCGGATGTGCTGAATCACAGGTCACATAAAGAATACATGAGCAACAATATGGAACTTGACACTGAAATAAATACAAGAATTTACTCCAAGGACAATTAAATCAGTACACTATGCATATATAAGATACAACAGATACAGAAGCACAACTATAAAACCAGAGCACAAACCATTTCAACATTGAAAGACAAAAGCAATATGCATCAACAACACCAAGCATTTAGAAATTTGTGGTCGCTAGAACTTCCTCATCATTATTAGTAGGTTCTGAAAACAAATACATCAGTACACTACGCGTATATAAGATACAGCACCACAGAGGTACAAATATAACACCAGAGCAGAAACTATTTCAACACTGATAGACAAATGCATTATGAATAGCAAATAGCAAGCATTTCGAAAATTGTGCTCGTTAATAACACAAATGGACACATGAAGATCATGAACCCTTTTACAGTGAAAATAAAAAAAGAAAATTAAGAATGTTGAGAAGATGCAAGCAGGGGGTGTTTTAAATATTCGGCAAAGTCTCTCAGTCCATTGAGTTTTGCATAGCATAATGAAGTACACAAGTCAGTAATACATAAAGATCATGAAATTACCAAAACTGTGGATTGTTACTAAAAAATCAAAATCCAAAATCCTCATATTTTTAGCAAGAAGCCATATTAAAGACTAAGAAAGGGGAAACATAAAAAGAAAAACAAAATTTACATGAGTTCTGCCAAAACACTAGATTAATCTTTGAATTGGAAGTATATGGTAAAGACTCACCAATTGTACGAACAAAGCCAGAACTTGCAAAAAATAAACAGTGACATTGTATAAGGTTGTATTGTTTCGTACAACTTGTACAACTCTGAAAATTGTTTCTACAGTGGACCAACAAGAAAAGCTCATTAATTCCCCTTTTTTCTTTTTGGACTAACTAGAGGGGCACCAATTAAAAAAAATTATCAAGAAATAAGGGCAACAGCAAAACAACAAATACCAAAATGAAATGTATAAAACAGGAAGATCTCAAAGTTGTCAATCAATTTATTAGACAATAGATTATCAAAGTCGACTACAAGCCTAATCTTTCTACAAATGATATTGGCCAATAATTAATCACATACAAACACAATTTTGCACAAGTCAGTTGCAAAAAGCCAACCGCAGGAGTCATTCATGTAGGGATTCAATTTCTGGGGGGAAATTAGAAAGGAATAAAAAACAAATTATCTTTTCCAAAACTATAAAACTTGTAGTATCTGTAAGGTTTTAATGCAATAATTTGCAGATACAAGACTAGTATAGTAATAGGTGTACAAAAACTCTGCAACAGAGGTAGTACACCCTTTATTTTAATTTGCTGAAAACTCCAAGTGCTAATATATACCTAATGAAATAATATGATTTCTAATAATCTACATTCTTTAAGTAGATATAAATAAACATATATTAATTAGGTTTATTCCAAAAACAAAAGCATAAAAGATTGCCAAAATAGAAAGAGCAATGCTACTTGGACTTAATTTGCAAACATAATTTGCTGATCTAATCATTGATAACCATTGGATTGACAATAGACCCTAGTATCTGTTGAAACCTGCTATTAATCCAATGGTTGTGATAAATTAGTTTAGCAAATTAAGTTCAAATAGCATTATTGAAATAGAAATAGGTCTCACATGCTAATAATACATATTACGTATCAGATATATTGCCCAGATTTTGGTTTCTGCTGGGAATGGATGTCAATGTTTAGTTTCTCAACAAACAATTTATGTACCGTACAAAACCAAAGGTCAACATCCATGCCCCATATTGGAAAACTAGTCATAACTCATGTCTGAAGACACGATAATATATAAAATTCGAGTATCCAAAAAATCGATTCCACTATATTAAATTTTTTTAAAATATATTAACTACAAATTAATTAAATATTAAATGATTAAATATATGATAGAAATGAGTGATGCGATATTTTTAGGGAGAAAATATATAAATGATTAAATATGTGATAAAAATGAGTGATGTGATTTGACGTTTGAGTTTGAGTCTGACAAAAGGATGATGGGTGAGGTAAGTGATTAATGATGGTTTTGAAGGAAAAAATATGACTGGGATAAAATTCAAACACACTCATGTTTTATTATATAGATTTAAATTGTTGAAACTTGCTTCGATATACATGAAAAAGCTTAAAATTACAAATTTCATTGTCTCCTTCGGTTAAAAAATTTCCTTAATCATTTGCATGTTATATACTGTCAGATTTGAGCATGTGAAAACAGTTTATAGTTACTTTGATATTATTCTCTTGTCATTTATAAAGTATATTCTGCCAAGAATAAGGAGTACACCATGAATAAGGACACATAAACTATTCTGAGAGACCCCAAAAACTCATGGCCAAGAAAGATATGGCTGTCACAACTGAAAATGGAGGGGAAAACACAGAATATCATCTACCCTGCTGGCTTAGTTCAAAAGTGTGCTTCAATGCAATGATCTGAGCATGTAGTATACTGAGGATGTAGCATAGTATAAATTCCTACAAGAAGGTATTTTTAAGAACAAACATAAAGAAAATAAAATTTCCTCCATATAACACTCAATAATCAACAAAAACATATTCCTGTGATCTAAATAGAGATTGGATTTTGAACCATTGGTTAGGTTCCATTAAGCTTGTGACAGGGTAATTGCATACAGCCCTACAGATATGAGTGTATGTCAACAGGTTAGATCAGGACTCAGGAGCCAACCAAATACTGATTTTGTCTAAAACCTTGGCCACCTTGACAAGGCAGGGTGAAAATCCTCATACCGATGGATCCATCTTGACTTTTTATTATCAAATTACAAAGGAACCCTACTCGAATTCTGTATATATCAAAAACTCTCTCAAACAATGCAGTATGTAAATTATTTGCAAAAGTAGAGATACAATGATTTCCATAAATTAATGCATAAAATTAAACCACAATGAAAAAGGAAAAAATCTACATTACCTGATGAGTGATTTTCAATGATTTATGGCACTATTGGTTATATCAAACTGTTTTCAACTAGAAAACCACTACCTCTGTTCAATAACCTTATTAACATCATAAAGTGGAACAGAATCATCAGTACCACTAGATAATTGCTTAGATCACAATCACATTGCTAGCAAAATACCAAATCCATTTAAAAGTTAGATACATTGCATGATATATGTTGGAATTTAGAATATTTATCTTGCATAGGTTAAGATTAGAACCTGAAAAACTTCGTGCATGGCTTTGATTTGCTTCCTACACCAGTTGTCTCCTTTTCTGTTGCAAAACAATTAATTACTTATTTTTTCTCGGTTGAACCTTCAATTCCTTATTAGTAATTAGAGAACTTACATTCAAGAACATCCAAGATTCACCACATCATTATTAATGACAAGCATATTACTAAAATTAATTAACAATTCATTCAACAATAATAACCCATAAATCAAATTCATTATTACTAACATTAATTAAGAATTTTCTTTTACTTTTTAGTAATTAGATAACATTCAATAATTCATCCATGATTCACCACATCCCCTTCGCGGGATTCCCCCCTGCTCAAATCACTTTAAACCTCGGATTCTCGAGCTGGATCCTTCAACTTTCCGGGATAGTATGAGGTGAGTTCTATTCATTTCTCTTCTTTTTGTTTCGCACTTTTCTGAATCATATGCAAACAAGTACGATGACAGAAAAAGATTTATGCAGTCAATCCCAAACGGTTCGAACAATACTCGAACACACACTACCTGTGTGTGCGTGTTGACAAATCTAAATGAATAATATTAGTGATTAATAGCTTAATATACAGAATCAAAAGCTGAGACTAACCTTCCTTCGATTTCTTGAAGCCTCCGTTGCCAGAAAAGTCACCTTGTGGTCTCTCTCTCTTCCTCCCAAACTCCATCGCTTCACCAGATCCAAAACCACACAGCTTTGCACACCAACCCGAAAAAATTATCAAGAAAATCAATCTCACAGATGAATCTGAATGGAAATGTGTGTGTGTGTGTGTGTGTGTTAATCTATATATATACTAACTGACTTTAATCTCAATGGAACGAAAATAGAAAGAGCAGCAAAACCCTAGGGTTTGCCGAGGACGGTGAGGCGGTTTCGCGGAACTCAAATTTTAGATTCAAATTCGATTTATTTTTTGGGTTCCAGCCCGCGCTTATTTCTCTTATGAAGTCACGTGCCCTTTTTGGGCCCTTATGTCATAAAGTTTGTACTTAACATCTTGGGCCAGGTCAGACCCAGTAGAGTCCAACAACAAGTGTTTTGTTTTTGTTTTTGTTTTGGTCTTTTTGAGTTTTTTTTTTTTTTTTAAGTCATCAGCGGCTCAGCCACAAGAAGAACTGTTTTGTTCTTGTTTTTTTGTCATTTGCCACAACATAAAAAACTGTTTTGGTGTTTTTGACTGTAGGACAATTTTTAAAAAAAATCTTTTCACTTTTTTAAGTAAATCTTATCTTCTTCTTTTTTGGGAATTAAATTTACCATTTTTTGAATTTTTTTTTGTATAGTATCAAAAATATTAAAGTAGTATCCTAGTGTTCCCCTTGGATTGATACTGAGTTATAAGTTATAACTAATATTATAATTCACTATCAATTTATGGCAATTATTAAGGGTGTCCATGGGCCCAGCCGGGTTAGGCCCGCAAAACTTTTTTGGCATGGGTCTAAGTAGGGTAAGTCCAAGCCCTCGTCCAAGTAAGTTTTCAGCTGGGTCAAGTTTCGGGTAGATGTAGACTATCCGCAGCCTAATCCGCTAGCCTATTGGGCGGGTCTTCTTGGAGGGCCAGACGAGCCTGCTCACGGGTTTTTTTTTATATAATTTCATTTAAAAATAATAAATATTTTTGTAACTAACTATTTTTGTAAATTATATTTTTGAATCAAAAGTAAAATCAAAATGGACAAAAAATAAATAATGAATAATTTTATTTTTGAATAGGGGAAGAATTACATCATGATAGAATGAGCACATCTCAACTAAGTTGATATATATCCACCTATCTATCATTTGCACAACTCTACACGTTTAATTCATAGAAAAGAAAATAAATACATTATTTATAGTATTTAAATTCTTAAAATTTCAAATTTCGACATTAGGGGACTTATTTCAAAGTTTTAAATTCAATGGTCTAACAGTCTAAGTTTTTTTCAAAAGAAGGGTGGACGGGCAGATTCTTAGACCGGGTTTTAACGGGATGTATAGACAATTTATTGGGCCGAGTTTTCGGGCTTGGTAATGAGTTTGGGGCAAGCCTAAGCCCTCTTTTACAAATATTGGGTAGCGACTTGGAAGAGTTAACTATCGGCTTTTCAGATTTTTGACCTATTTTTTTAGACCAAATAACGAGACTCGTGAATGACTTGACCCACTCTTAGCAATCATTGATTAGACAACAAATTAGGTTTACACTACATTTCCCCAGCCCAATAACTTGCAGGCCAGTCCAAAATAGCATAATGGGTATTAGCCCATTTTTCTGGCCCAGGGCCGACCAAATCTTTTGTTTTCAATCAATAAAAAGGTCACAAACTAATTAATCAAAAAAATATAATTACAATTTTATTATATAAAATATGACAGACTTCAATAAGCTCATCCGACGCTTTCAAATAGACTTATATAATGACCACCAATATTTCTTTTAAAATCATTCACATTGCNACAACAAGTGTTTTGTTTTTGTTTTTGTTTTGGTCTTTTTGAGTTTTTTTTTTTTTTTTAAGTCATCAGCGGCTCAGCCACAAGAAGAACTGTTTTGTTCTTGTTTTTTTGTCATTTGCCACAACATAAAAAACTGTTTTGGTGTTTTTGACTGTAGGACAATTTTTAAAAAAAATCTTTTCACTTTTTTAAGTAAATCTTATCTTCTTCTTTTTTGGGAATTAAATTTACCATTTTTTGAATTTTTTTTTGTATAGTATCAAAAATATTAAAGTAGTATCCTAGTGTTCCCCTTGGATTGATACTGAGTTATAAGTTATAACTAATATTATAATTCACTATCAATTTATGGCAATTATTAAGGGTGTCCATGGGCCCAGCCGGGTTAGGCCCGCAAAACTTTTTTGGCATGGGTCTAAGTAGGGTAAGTCCAAGCCCTCGTCCAAGTAAGTTTTCAGCTGGGTCAGGTTTTGGGTAGATGTAGACTATCCGCAGCCTAATCCGCTAGCCTATTGGGCGGGTCTTCTTGGAGGGCTAGGCGAGCCTGCTCACGGGTTTTTTTTTTATATAATTTTATTTAAAAATAATAAATATTTTTGTAACTAACTATTTTTGTAAATTATATTTTTGAATCAAAAGTAAAATCAAAATGGACAAAAAATAAATAATGAATAATTTTATTTTTGAATAGGGGAAGAATTACATCATGATAGAATGAGCACATCTCAACTAAGTTGATATATATCCACCTATCTATCATTTGCACAACTCTACACGTTTAATTCATAGAAAAGAAAATAAATACATTATTTATAGTATTTAAATTCTTAAAATTTCAAATTTCGACATTAGGGGACTTATTTCAAAGTTTTAAATTCAATGGTCTAACAGTCTAAGTTTTTTTCAAAAGAAGGGTGGACGGGCAGATTCTTAGACCGGGTTTTAACGGGATGTATAGACAATTTATTGGGCCGAGTTTTCGGGCTTGGTAATGAGTTTGGGGCAAGCCTAAGCCCTCTTTTACAAATATTGGGTAGCGACTTGGAAGAGTTAACTATCGGCTTTTCAGATTTTTGACCTATTTTTTTAGACCAAATAACGAGACTCGTGAATGACTTGACCCACTCTTAGCAATCATTGATTAGACAACAAATTAGGTTTACACTACATTTCCCCAGCCCAATAACTTGCAGGCCAGTCCAAAATAGCATAATGGGTATTAGCCCATTTTTCTGGCCCAGGGCCGACCAAATCTTTTGTTTTCAATCAATAAAAAGGTCACAAACTAATTAATCAAAAAAATATAATTACAATTTTATTATATAAAATATGACAGACTTCAATAAGCTCATCCGACGCTTTCAAATAGACTTATATAATGACCACCAATATTTCTTTTAAAATCATTCACATTGCGTTGTGTCTTCAGACACCGATTACTCTAAGGGTATTCGATTCAATTTCTGCACACTTTAATTAATTTTTTCTTCAGTCTGATCAAAAGTAGATCATCCACGGTTAGACTAAGGTAATCATGAGAGATTAATTCTTCATTATCTAACCCTAAGAAGTTGTCAAGATTGAAACTCAGAACATCTAAATTTACAACTTGTCTCTGTTACAACTTGAGCAGCCCATTGGGGTTCCATCATCATATCTTTAAACACACATTTTAAGCGACAAACATAGGTAGTATTTGATAAAATTGAAAGCTGAATATTGAAAACTGAATGATGACTTTTAAATGTTGAATACTAAATTTTTTAATTCGTAGGCTGTTTGATATTTAATGAAAGTTAAGTATTGAATTGAATTAAACTGTTTGATAAATAAAAAAAATTGAAACCTAAAAATTATTATTATTCTACTTTTGTCATTTTTTTAACCATCTCACCACAACTATCTTTTTCCTTCCACTACCATCACAATAATGACGGTGATAGTAGTGGCGTTGACATAATGGTGATGTTGGTGACACATTGATGGTGATAGTGGTGGTGATAACGACAATGGTGGTGACGACACAATTATGGTAATAACGGTGGTTATGGTGTTGGATGATGGGTACTGAAAAGTTAAAAGTGTAAAATACATTGACGGTATAGTTGTCAATGATAAGGAATTTATAAAATATTTACTAACTAATAATTTTAGCATTGAGTTATAAGTAAGTAACTTGTTATTTAAAATTTTAGTCTAATTTAAAAAATGTTTAAAATATAAAGTGACATAAATTTTAAATTATCAAAAAAGTTTAATTCATAGGTAAGGATTGGGATATAAATATCGGGTCCACTACCGTACATCCATCAACCTCAGTCATTTACTTTAGATTGAATAATTTATAGTTATTAATTTTTTAAAAAATTTAAATAATAAAATTATATAGATTATGAATTTTTTATTAATTTGAAAAGAAAAACACTTTAAAAAATATCTTTCGCTACAATAATTGGATTCGAGTATTGAACGTTTAAATCAAAATTCATTAAAACCCTCCTTAGAAAGTCAAATGTCTCGTCACATGATAACCATGGAGGATGGTCTGTCTTTGTTAGATACAGGCAATGCATTAACAATGATGTTTTTTTTTTCCAGCAAACATGACGGCCGCTACGCCACCTTCGACCTCGTAAATATATATAGATTAATTATAAATTACACCTCAAAAGATTATTTGAATTTAAATTTATATTTTTAAATATCAAAAATTTTAATTTATATCCTCAAAAATAAAAATTTGTATCAATGTATACCCTCAAAATCAAAAATCTCAATTTACATCTTTAAAAATAGAAATTTGTATCAATGTGCACATAAAACTAACTGTCGTCAATTTATTGTTTAAAATTAAATTGATAAATTATATCTAGATCCCCTCATGTTTGTCACTTAATCATTGGGACTCTCTCACATTTAAAATATTACTCATACATCTCATGACGTTTGTGCACTTGTAACACGTAATCCTTTTTCGTTAATATCTGTTAATATAATCGTTAAAAAATATGATCTTATCCTAATAAAAAATTATAATTTTTATATAACTCTTTATTTTGTGGGTCCGATATACTCTAAAATTCAAAATCAAATTTATCATTTGAATGTACAATAGAATGTAGATATTTATATAATATTTTTTTATATGCAATGCAATATATCACTTAAACATAATTATTTGAATGTCCAGGGGGACATTTTAGATTGAGAGTATTTTTTTAT